ATGAGGAACCACAGGGCGTTAGAAACACCAAAGAGGCCAATGGTGCCCTTTTGGAGAAGCACACTATTTGAGAATAAGCCAAAACAGACTCCACTAAAGCCTTGTTTATTTTAGAAAGGCTTCTGGAGCAATCTTCTTACAAAGCACTCAATGATTCCAACCAATTTGAATGATCACGTGCACTGATGTAGAACTGCCTTCTACAGACCCATGCCTAATAAAGCCTCAGGGGACCCCAGGAGGTGTCACTGGCCATTCAGCCTCTAAAAGGGGGAAAGTGTGGCCACCAACTACTGCTCTTGATTCCCCAATCAGAGGAAACACAGGCAAACCCCACACCCCTGAGATCCCCCAGCGATTCATACTTATGACACTCTCCTTTCTTTTCGGTGATGCCCATGATCAGCCCCATTACACACACACACACACACACTCTCTCTCTCTGTACCAAATGCATCCTGCATTCCAGATGCCCTGCCCACACACCTGCCCATGATCAACTCCATCACACACACACACACACACACACACACACACACACACACACACACACACACACAGAGTCTGTACCAATGCATCCTGCATTCCAGATGCCCTGCCAGGCACTGGACACTGGGTGTGTTGCAGAAGACAGACAAGAACATGGCCTCAGATTCTGTAGGGGAGCCAGATAATTCCACAAACAGCCAAAGGCACAATGACGATGCAGGAAGTCCTAGGTATTATGTAAGCCAAGAGGGCTTCTCAGAGAGGGGAATGTTTAAGTCCTGAAGGGAAAGACAAACTAATGGCTCTTAAGTGAGAACCTTCTGGTATAGAATGGTCCGCAAGCGATACGGCTGGAATTACACAATGTATACAATAAGGTACTTGGCTTCAGTCAAACATGAACTCCACTGGTGCAGGAGGCCGACATTTGTCAATTCCTCCATTCCTATAGTGCCTTTGTGGACAATTCATATTTCGAGTAATATGTGGTGCTGTCTCAACCCTGCAGCTTTATTCTCATCTGGTGAGAGGACAATGCAACCTCACAACAGTAATGACTGAACTGAACAAGACACGTAGGTGAAAGCCAGCTACTGTCTGCCTGCAGAGTGCCAATTACATTCTTTCCCTGGGTGCCGGCAAGGTCTGACATTTTGATAGTGATCTCCCCGGTGACGAGGGACTTTGGCTGAGGCACTCAGGAGAGCCAGGAGACTGGATCAAGAGCCTGATGATATACTCTGAGGTGACTGCGGGGCTTGTCAGTATAGTAGGTATTGTATGTAGCAGGTATAGTAGGCTTGTAGGTATATAGTAGGTATAAGTATAGATTTTATGGGTTGGGAGGTCCCTGTGAAGGGCTATGCTCCTATCCTCTTATAGCAGATGTTTTTCTTCTTCTTCTTCTTCTTTTTAATCCAACAGCTGTGACTGATCTTCAGAATTAAGCTTCCACAAGAGAGGCAGGTTGAGGTAAGTTGAGAAGCTACCCCTGTCTGAAGGCAAGTATATGTAAAAGTGATCTGGAGCCCCTCATACCAGACTTCCTGCTTTCAGATCTCAGGAAATGGGTTTGGAGAGTCAGTGACTCAAATGGCAAGAGGCTCAGTTGAAATGTGGACTAGGTTCTACCTAACTCCAAACCCATGCTCTTCCTGCTATTCTAGTCAATCCCCCTCCCCTCAGCCTTGTCCCCCCCCCCCCCCCCGGCTTCTGCCTGCTCTAGAACTCCTACCAGCTCTTCCTCACAGGCTGAGCCTGGCTGCACACGTCCGCCCTCATCCTTCAGTGCTTCCCCAGATGACATCATTACTGCCAAGCTCTCTGTGACCAGGCCTAGTCCCTACACCCCTGTACCAGCATCCTACATGTTCTCCAGCAGAGGGCCTGTGTCAGCTGTTCTGCTGCCCACCGTGCTTTTCCCTGGGAGGGCTGGGACCTTCCTGTCCATCTGCCTCAGCCTGAGCATTAGCCTTCGAAGGCTGCCTTCTCTGACTGCTCTGGACATGCTTCAACACATCACGCTTGCAGCTGGCCTTACCTGTCATTTTCATGTTTACTTGTACACAGTGTGCCTCCCCTACTCTGCTCGGCCTGAAATCAGCTCTACTAGAGTCAGTTTACATCTTTTGTTCCCCATGGTACAGAGCCTGATGCAGAAAGGCGATTATCTGCTAGCTATGGAAAGGCAGGCACTTTGTTCATCCTCAACTAGAATGGAGTCTTAGTCTTAGTGCCCTGAGTATCACAGCGCATCACCAGTGTCCCTGAATACAATTGGGTCCTTATCCCAGTTAAGTCCTAACGCATCCCCACTCACTTAGATCCTGTGTCTGTGCTCATTAGGGCAGTTTTGGGGCAGTACTGAAGTTTGAACTCAGGGCTTTGTACTTTGCTAGGCTGTTGTACTACTGCCACTGTCTGCTCTGGTTAGGGTTAGGGTCTCACTTGTACCTGAGCCAGGCTGGACTGGCATCCTATTTTACACTGTCCACACTAGCTAGGATGGCAGACATAGGCTACTGTGCCTGTGATGGAGTCTTGTCAACATTTTTGGCCTGGGCTGGCTCGGACCAGGTGATTTTCCTGATCTCCACCTCCTGCACAGCTAGGATCACAGGCAGGAACACCGCTGCCTGGCTTCTTGAGACTTCTTGAATGTGGAACTGTATCACCCTTGTGTCCTCTCTGCCTACAATGCCATCAGTTTTCATGAAATGCATGTTGAGTACTGTGAAGTACTGAAGAGGATGGCTGGGTCTCTCAGCTGCACCGGTTTCTAACTAGTCTGTGGAGGTGGGGCCAAGACTGTGAAGATAGAGACTTGCTTCATGGTGGTTAATCATCAGGAGGGAGATCAGAGATTCCTCAGTTGCTACATGTTTTAAAATGATCCTCTGAGAAAAGACAACTGTCGGGAGAGGAGGGGAAGGATGCTGGTCAGCGGAGCCTTGCATACAAAGCCACTGCAGTAGAGTTAGCCTGATGCTGAGCACACAAGAGCCTTAGTCCCTGTTGTCATGCTACAGTGGAATACCTGAGGGAGATGGGAGGAGAAAGCAGGAGGGTTGGAATCTACTCCTTTGTCACGAGCTCAATTCCCTGCCAACTACCCCAGTCCCTCAATAACAGCACCTCTCCATTTGTGAGGGTGGCCCATCACCACCTGTTCATCCCACCTCTCAACCTGGCTGCATTGGGGATTGGTTTCTAACAAACGACCCTCCTCAGGGGGACACACGAGACCACAGATGACAGCCTTATCATGAACAGAGGAACCGTGACTGCCAGACACAGGGGGTTGGAGGTGAAGCAGTTAATCCGGAGTGGTTACTAGGTTGTCAGTAGTAACCTGACATAAGTCCTGGGGTTACACTCTTGCCCATGAATTCATCAGACTCAATTTCCAACTGTGGAGGTGTTCGTTAGCCCATGTATGAGCTTGGCACCTCATACCATCCAGGGCCTATGCAGCTCCAGGACTGGAGAGGCTCAGAGAATGTCTTTAGGGCAGAACACTGTTCCGTGGTGAACACAATCACTTCATCTAGTACAAGCTGATCATACTAAAGTTTGAGCACATTTTCCTAAATAGGATGGAACACAGCAGTGAGGGAGAACCCATTGTAGAGAGCTCTGAGGATTTCAAAGATATGTGGGAAGGAGAGATGAGCAGAGGCTGAAGACTCAGGGCCTCTTGCTCTTGTTTGGTGTTTTGGCTCAAGGCTGGTGCTCTATTACTTGAGCTACAGCTCCACTTCTGAGTTTTTTGCTGGTTAGTTGGAGATAAGAGTATCTAGGACTTATCTGCTTGAGCTGGTTTCCAATCATGGTCCTCAGATCCCAGCTTCCTGAACAGCCAGGATTACAGGTGTAAGCCACTGGTGCCCGGCTGGCTTCTAAGTGCGTCTCTTGCCTAAAGTCTCTTCACAAGTGCCATTTCTCTTCATGAATTCTTTCTTTCTTTTCTCTTCTTTCCTTCCTTCCTTCCTTTCTTTCTCTCTCCCTCTCATTCTCCCTTCCTTTCTTTCTCCCTCCCTCCCTCTCTCTCTCTCTTCTTCCTTCCTTCCTTCCTTTTCTCACAAAGCCTGAGTTGTTTATTTACAATGGTGCCACACAGTATATAGTAGTAGTTTTATAGAGTTTGATTTAGAAATGTATAGAAGTTGAGTATTAAAGAGGAATCATAATAAAAGGATCCATGGTCAAAGACAGTAAAAATCCTTTATCTATCTATCCTCTCTCTCTTTTTCTCTTCAAATAAAAAGGGAAAATAATTCTAGAAAAAATTCTCTTCTGTGATACTTTAATTAGTTGGTACTAACAGTGATTATGTTACTGAGTCATAATAGATGCCCAGTGGCTGAGTTCAGACTAGGAGTCAGGTGCTGATGCTCCAGTTCCAGCGCTATTTTCAAAAGGCAAAGCAATTTACCTTCCTTAAAATACAGACACAAAAATGCCAGTGCCAAGGGGCTCCTTACAGGGATGATAAAAATATTCTAAAATTAGATTATGGTGATCGTTGCACAATTCTGTGAATATGTTAAACCATTACATTGTAGACTCTCAGTGGGCCGATTTTATGCCAAGTGAATCATCTTAATAACGACGTTTTTAAAAAGGGTACCTAGGAGATTGATTGCTGAAGTTTAAATTACCTATGTAGAAACTAATGAAGGATAAAATTAATTTAAACATTTCATGGTTCTTCTGTATTTACCCGAAATGTCAATTTTTTTTCAACCCCATGATTATCACAGTAAGGTGTAACAGACATAAATGCAAAGTGTATGCAAAGCTTATAAAAACGGACAGGAAAAAAAATCAGGCAATGATCACATACTCTATAAAGGGATTACTAGGGGGCCTCCTGATGTGAGTCCCATATGACACAAATAGGCTGAAAGCTAGTGACAATTTACAGACCACTGTTTAGAAATCCCCTCAGTAGATGGATGTTGCAGTGACACTGAACAATTTCTGCAATGAGGAATATAAGGGCCACTTACCTTGTGACAAGGAACCAGGCAATTTTGCTGAAGTCCGGCGAAGTCCTCAGGTATGTCTTGATATGTGGCATGGCATTGCTGCGGCCAGCTGTCTCAGCAGACCACTTACTAGAGACAGAAGATAAACGATTAGTTAGGAAATAATCCACAATGGGAGGCGGTTTATGCCTGTAATTCCAGCTAACCAGGAGGTAGAGATCAGGAAGATGGTGGCTTGAAGCCAGGCAGGGCTACAACTTCATATGATGCCTTCCTAACAAAACAAGCTGAGCATGGCGATGCATTCCTGTCACCTTCACTGTGTAAGGGACCATAGGTAGGAGGATCATAATTGGAGGACAGCCCCAGTCAAAAAATGAGACTTATCTAAAAGATTGAAAAAAAAAAAGAGCTGGGGGATATGACTCAAGTGATATACCAGCTGCCTTGCATTCAGAAAGCCTGGAGTACTGCCAAACAGAAGAAAAAAAATCAAATTGGCCATAATCCTAATATTAGGAAACAACTGCATAAAAAAGCAAAACCCTGTAATCTCAAAAATAGTAGGAGCACATTTCTGTGACCTGTGATAACAGTGTAAACTACTCAGACAACAGAATAGCATGATCCTTTTAGAAAGTGGGAATTTAAAAAAAAAAAAAAAAGGAAATTTAGCATTGCTTCCCAAAGCACCCAAATCCTTCTGGCATACTGCCTTCTGTCTTTCTGTCCCTCCTCGCCCCCCCCATACACGCACACACACACACACACACACACACACCCCACACACATTTGAGCAGATCCATTATTTCTGTTGTGCTTTTTTATTTGGACCTGTGAATTCCTAAAGGTAGGAATCAAAGTCCCACACTGTGCTGAGTAGAAAACTTAAATGAAACAAATACAAAGGGGACAAAATGTAGTCACCACTGAGTTGAAAAGTACACAGGGCTTCAGTCTTAGCTTTGCATTCTGTTTCTAAGTTCCCAACACTGCAGGGCTAAGGTGACATGGGATAAGCAGCCTGTCTCCTAGGCCCCCGTTCTTAGTATGAGACAAGAGCACTGTTGCTTAGCCTGCAAGTGTAGAATTAGGATGAGGGAGGCCCACCACATTCTTCAAGTGAATTCAGTCATCTGAGTTTGAAAGGAGCTCAAAAGAAGGTCCTGGTAAGGGACAACCTGTCTACAAAGGTCTAAAGAAAGGCTCTAGGATGATACACATATGTAGAGGAAAGCTACTGACATGTAATCCTGCCTTCACTTCCAGTTCCCAGCACAAAAATGACCTACTGAAGGAAGCATAGAATTAGGTTAAACCAAGGACATTCTTTTACTCTTCCGTTCATTAATTCACTGGAGTCTGGTGACTTGGCTCCCTAGGAACAATGGGCTGGGCTCTATCCTAGGCCATGCTCAGCCACATACCACCACAGGACTGACAGAATGGTTCTTGTCCTATTCCAGAAAAGTCAAGGAAAATGCTACTTATGCAAATATAAACTACCTCCGTGAGATCTTTTTATTTATCGTTTTCTCTGCATGCCAATATTTAAATAGAAGCTTCATGGAGATAAATTTTACTCCTTGGTATTAAAAACCTATTCCCAAAATATTTCCAAAACCTTGTTTTTAAATTATTTCTATCAGTAACATATGTAGAAGAAGGGAGAAGGTGACATTATATAAGGTTCCCTTTTTAAACAAAATAGACCGACAGAAATAACATCCTTACTCCTAAAGAAGTAATAGCAGCATTCTGGACCAATTACTTACTGAAAGTAGGAATGCAGCCAGCCTTGTTTCTCTGCTGTCTGGATGCTGTAAGGAAGAGAGCCCCCGGCTTTTAAAAGAAGAAAAAGAAAATAAAAATAACAAGCATTTATTTGAACTTCCTCACTAAGAAGAATATCTATATTTAGCAGTGAAGGTAAATGAAAATCAACTTAAGATTTCATCTGAAGGAATAGTTCTTTTTTTGTGTGTGTGTATGCCAGTGCTAGGGCTTGAACTTAGGACCTGAACACCAGACCTTAACTTTTTTGCTCAAGGCTGATACTCTACCACTTAAGCCACAGCACAGTTTAAGCTTTTTGGTGGTTAAATGGAGATAAGAGTATCACAGACTTTTCTGCCTGGACTAGCTTCAAACAGTGATTCCATATCTCAGCCTCCTAAGTAGCTAGGATTACAGGTGTGAGCCACCACACTCGGCTTAGAAGCCAATTTTTGTGCATCTTTGGAAGGAAGATTGTAGATTCATCAGTGACTTAGGTAACATGAAACTTCTCCATAGTCATCTATATCTAAAGACTAGAAACAATCCCAACATCCAGTATGGCATGTCCTGGCTCCTACTGCAAATAACTAAAACCATAGTCCATTTTTGAACCAGTTAAAGTGGCTTTATTGAAAACACCACATTCTTCCCCATTACACGTGCACATTAAATAGATCTAGCTTATTAGAGGTGCAGAAAAATTATAAAAGGAAAAACTACCATTATTTCTAAGCGTCTTCATGAAATAATTTTAGTTTTGCCATTAAAAAGCAACAAATAGGCTACTGTACTCAGAACATTTTGAGATTTTTTTTCTAACATGGTTACATCTAATTTGTTAAGTAATAAATGGGTTGAATTACTTGCAATTTAGTGCATTCTGCTTTCAGCCCTTAGCGATGCTAATTAGGCTGCTTTTTCGAGAGCACTCACTCGCGGGGATTTTACTTCATATCACTTGATTGCACTGTGAAGGGTGCTGCGAATTCCACACAGAACTTTAGTGCTCAGCAGTGGGTTAAGGGAAATGAATGGAAGATATGTGCAAGGTAAAATGCTGGGCATTTGAAGATGAAGACCTTGGGGGGGAAAGTAGGACCTAGCAATGAAGGTACAGTAGCAGCAGTAATAGTAAATTCTAGATCTTAAGTTTATCTGTATCAGGAGTGCTACTGATCAAGATGCACCCTACTCATAATCTGACTTGTGAAACTGAAACTCCTTTGTACAACTACTTAAAATAAAAAAGACAAGGTGTTAGCCATGTCTGATGTTAGCCAACGTACCTGAGTACTAGGGGAGGCTGATTTTAGATAAACATCTTACCAAGCGACACACTGGACACCCTACTGGTAAAAATGAGTAGAACGAGTGTTCACAGGGCTACTGTGAGGAACACAGAACGTATGTGAGCTGCCCAACGCAGTGGTACCGTCTCCAGCAAACCTAGTTTATGATCCTTATCCAGTATAGAGCAAACCATCTCCCCATTTTCAGGCTCTTTTCTTTCTCTTCTCTTCTTTTCCCTCCCTCCCTTCTTCTTTCCTTTTTTTTGGTCCAAGACTAGGTCTCAAACTTGATACCTGAACTTTCGCTCACTGGCTAGCACTCTACTAACTGAGCCATGTCTCCACCCCATCTTCACATTTTTAAACAATATTGGAAACGTTTTCCCAGGACATTTATGACAAAATACACAGACCCACAGCTGAGCCCACGCCCCCAGCAATTACCAGGGTATCCTTCTAAGCTGGTCCGCACGTTTTCCACAGAAGGATAGATCTATACAAAAGAATGATGTGAGTAATTAGGATAGACCTAATACTAATTAAGATGATGAATCAGAAAAGAGAAGATAAAACTCGAAATGTGCTGTGTTGAAAAAAAAAATGATGACCAGCTTTCAAGAAAATGCAAATCTCAATCGAATATACTTAGTCTATGAGGAAGCTGGGATCTGAGGATCGCAGTTTGAAGCCAGCCTGATCAACAGAGTCTGTGAGACTCTCTTCTCCAATAACAGAAAACGCCAGACGTGGTACTGTGGCTCAAGTGGTAGAGTGCTAACATTGAGCTCAGGGACAGTGCCCAGGCCCCCCAAAAAATTTGAAAAAAGACTTAGTCTAAAGTGAAGGGAGGGGTCACACTATCCAAAAAGCAAATGTACTCACTACCTGGCTTATGAAATTGTAACTCCTCTGTACAACACCTTAATAATAACAATAAAATTATGTTCAAACAGAAAAGACTTGGTGTAAAACAAATTTTAATAAGAGCTCTCATCTCACTGAAGAAAAAAGGGAACATGTAGTAATTAAACCTTAGGAAGTGTATATATGTGTAATAAAAAAAATTACATTTTTCTCTGAATACTTTCCCCTCTGAAATGCCAAATTAATACTGAGTTGAATGTAAAAATGAATTGGTTCCCAGGCCTCTAAGTAATTAATAGAGCTCCTTATTCTGCTGCCACTATTATACCAAATAGTTTCTCCTGCACTGCTGGCTTAACAACCTGAAAGGAAGAATAGAAACAAGACAGGCCAGTCTGTGGCTGAAAGGACACAAGCCAGCCAACCCTCAGCATGAGCTGATACTAACTCAATTAAAATGACAACACTAACCCTGATCTCTCCAGGTCAGAATTACTGGGGGGAAAAAGCATCCCTGGCCAAGAAGATTGCTTCTCCATCTTTTTCCAGAGACTACAAGTAAATTAACTCGAGGAGGAAGAGAACTCACCAAATGAAGGGGAGTGACAGTTTTTCCTGGCATTTTGCTTTGCTCCCCCAGTGTGACCAAGCTCTCCTTGAACTCCGAACACAACCATTTGGACTCATCAGCCCCCAACGAGCCAATGCTTGAAAACTGGCCCACTATAGGCCAGTACTCAGCTTTAGGTATAGGTGAGACATGTTCCTTCAGAAGCTGTCAGAGAATAAAAAGAAATGCTGCAGTCACTCGATGATAAAAACAGAAATACACAATACCTCAGAAGATGGACCTTTGCTTTTCAAATGCCTAATTTGCTAAGAAATACTAGAGTAGAAATTAACTTCACATCCATATTTATGTTGTTCTTTAGGAAATACTTTTGAAGTACTAAAATGTATGTAATGTCTTTCAAAATAGTAGGAGGGGACAAGTGTTAATTTTCCAAAATTCTTTGATTTGTACTAAAAACAAAGATAGATTAAGAAATAATGGAAGCCAGGTGTTAGTGATTTAGGCCTATAATCTTAGGTACTCAGAAGTCTGAGATTTGATGATTATGATTTGGAGCCAGCCGGTGCAGATAAATCCCAAAGACTCTTATTTCCAATTAATCAGCAAAAAGCCAGAAGAGGAGGTGTCGGGGAGTCAGCAGTGTTAAAAAACAAACAACAAGAAAAATCCCCAACCAAGCCAGAGTTCAAGGCTCTGAGTCCAAGCCCCAGTACCGGCATACACACACATACACAAACACAAGAAACAAAAACTGATTTTTGTTTAGATTTGAGCTGCATCCCTAATATATATTATTACATGTGTGCAAATATCCCATGATCTGAAAAAGTAGGTGCTGAGTATTTCAGATAAGGACTGATCAACTGGAAAATTGTTTATAGAGTGAGATGTAAGTTTTTCAGAAAGCCACTGGAGATAATTCACTAAGTCTGGACAACTGTCCAAAGAAAAATGAAGAAACCTCCAGCTTGAATTTCCTTATTATTTTATCTTGACACAAACTTTTCTTTGTTCATTTTCCCCAGCAACAAATGCCATTTTATTTTTTTTTTGGTCCGGTCGTGGGGCCTGAACTCTGGGCCTGGGCGCTGTCCCTCAGCTCTTCAGCTCAAGGCAAGCGCTCTACCACTTGAGCCACAGCACCACTTCCGGCTTTTTTCGTTTTGCTTTATGTGGTACTGAGGAATCGAACCCAGGGCCTCAGGCATGCAAGGCAAGCGCTCTACCACTGAGCCACCTTCCCAGCCCCATTAAAGAGGTTTCAAAAACTAGATCTGTACAACTACTTAATGATAATAAATTTAAGAAGTAAAAAAAAAAGTATATACAATAAGACCAAACAGTGAATATAAAATCAAGTGGGGTGCAGGTGGCTCACACCTGTAATCCTATCTACTCAGAGGCTGCGATCTGAGGGTTGGGTTGAGGTATGACGCCAGCCTGGGCAGACAAATCCCTGAGACTCTTATCTTCAACTAACCAGAAAAAAGTCAGAAGTGGAACTGTGGATAAAGTGGAAGAACACCAGCTTTGAGGGGGAAAAAAGTGGCCTTGAATTCAAGACCTAGTACTGGAATAAACCAAAACCAAATCCTAACCCTCTCAAATTCAGCTCTTCTTGTGGAGATTCACACTAAATTAGCACCTTGAGTTTTTCCTTTGATACCTCTTTGGGAAAGAGAAGGGTGAATGGAAGCCAAGAATGCTATGCAGTAAGTGCTGAGAAAAGGAATTAGTTCAGGGTTCAGGTCTTTCATTTTGCAGCCTCTTTCTTGGCTCAGTTTCTTTGCACATGCTGCTCAGTCTACTTGGCTGGAGAGTATATGAGCACGACCTCAATTTCTGTAGAAACTAAGGGAAAAAAAACTACCATACATACAGCTATTTATGTTTATGAGTATAATAATAGCAAATGTGGATGAATGGTTATATACCAATGCTTATGCCTCAAGAGAGTGGAATGGGGCTGTGGGAATAGTAAAGCATACTGTGGGGCTGTGAGTGTGGCTCAGGGTATAGCACTAGCATATGTGAGGCCCTGGGTTCAGTCCCCAGCAACCACCAACAAAAGCCCCAAACCCACACACACCAAAAAAGCCCAACTCTTTCTGCATGTGGTTCTTTTCAAGGCCATCTAGGCATTGTTTGTACAATTAAACAACAGAAAAGAGCAACAAAGTGAATGGCTCTAGCTTTTGGCCCTTCCTGGTACAGGCAGTGACAACCATGAAGTGCGCAGGCACTACAAACCCTTGGGTTTTCTGGTGCCAGTCCTCTCGGATGAGGTTGGAGGTGTGAATGACGACGCGGAGGCCTTCTTCATACAGCAAGAGCATCATTTTCCTTCAAAGACAGAAAGGGAGCAGAAGGCAGGAACAGGATTTTCAGAGTATGCAGTACCTTTCTGATACAGATGTAATAGCTAGAGGAATTCTTGAGCCCTTATATATTACCCAAAGTTTTATTAAAGTTTACAATCCTGCCCTTCTAAACATCACTATTATGGAAGTCTGTTTCAGTGACAGATGGAAAACCACCTTCAGAAAATGCTTGAATATTTGGTGGTAAATTTTCACTCCATGTAGCTGGTTCTAGCAAAGCTTTGTCCTCAGGCCTGGCCCATTATTTTTATTACTGTTGTTGTTGCTGCTTTGTAAGGGGCAAGTGTTCTACCACTGAGCTACATCCCCAGCCCAAGGCTGGCCCCTTAAGGTCTGTTGGACATCACCCAAGGCTGGGCAATAGGAACATCTTATAGGGTGTTTTCAAAGTATGGGTACAACCTCTTCGTGGCATGGCTAGAAGGACAAGCCTGATTACACTGCACTCATTCATTTAAGAGTATATGCTCAGGAAGCCTGGTTTCAGCACACAGGCAAACCATGTACATGACACTGACAAATACAATGCATTTCTGACTGTGGGTTGCAATTCAAGTTGCCTTGTGAGATACTCCAGCCCTATTCCATGGACTTTTTGCACTCCAAAGAGGTCACACTTTTCACCAGTGTGTATTTGGACTTGAAGCTAACATGATCTTTTGCTTCCCTGTTAACTCAATCAGGCCTGGGTAAGCTCGCTTTCTCCAGGCTGCTCAGCACCAAACACATTTCTCCTATTTCATTTTGTGTGAAAAAAAGGAGAGAGAGGATGTATCTAAGAACTTTCCGTTTGGAGTTTGGGAGTTCTGAGCTTGAATCTATCCTTCTGCCAGTCTGTGTTCAAGAGTCCCAGCTTTTCACTTGGAACTTGGAAGAATAAATCCCAGCTTGGAACTGTTGTAAATGAAATAAAAATACATTGCATTCCATGTTTCTTTTGTTTGCTTTTCAGAGGTATTGGGGGTCTGAACTCTGGGTCTTGTATTAGAAGGCAAGTGCTCTACTACTTTAAACTGTACCCCCAGCTCTTTTTGCTTTAGTTATTTTTCCGTCTTGCATTTTTGCCTGGATCGCAGCCTGTGGTCCTCCTGTGATGTTTAGCTGGATGCTGGATGAGACAGTCTTGGGAATATTTTGCCTGGGCTGGCCTCTAACCACTATCCTGCCAGTCTCCACTTCCTGGTTAGTTGGGATTATATGGGTGCTCTCATTAAATGTTAAATGCATGAATGCCATTCACTCCCATGATTCCTTTGGTTCTCTGCTTTATTTTGGCATCTAGTTTCCTCCAGTTGTCTTGTAATTATTTCAGGAATTTAAGTTTTCTCTCCCTAAATACAGTGTCACTTTTCAAGGTTGTAACTCTGGCTTGACTGATTTTATCATTTCCTTGGAGGTTAAAATGCTACTAAATTCTTACAAATGTAACTGAGTCTGCAGGGGCAAAAACAATGACCCATCGCTTCTTCCCAAACAAACATGCTCATGGGCACAGCTCTTGCCAAAATGCGAAATTAACGCAAGCTGGCAAACAACTTCATGCAAGGCTGGAGAATTGACAGCTATGGAGCCATTTTCTTTCCAGCTACGCGACTTGCTCCCTGAAATCTGGGCAAATTGGCACACAGAGTTGCCATGTTAGCAGCTGATTATAATTAAGGATGAGCCAATTGGGGATTCATGATAGAAGCTTTACAAATATTTCCATTAATCAAGGCATCAATTATGAGGAAAATCACGCGCTGATGTCAGTGAATCCCATCAAATAGAATTATGAATTAATTTGAGGGGAACCATATTAATCTTCTCATAGATGACTCGGTGTGCTAATAAGGTCACAGTTAAAAACAGAAAAGGGTGAGCAACGGGCGCTCCCCAAAGGAGGGAGACATGCAGCGTTGTCTCTAAGTGGTGCGGTGGCCAAAGGGTCACTTCCCAAATGGCAAATCAGGCATGAAGAGGGTGGATGCAGTGGATGTGTGCCAGGCAGTATTCTAATTGCTCTAAGTGTGTGTCACCATGCTGAGCCCCAAGGGCGATGCATAGCGGAACAGCTATCTTCATTGTCTAGCTGCAGGATTGTGGTTGGGAGGAGTAGGGACTATGCAGGTCACCCATGGCAGAGCTGACGAGAATCACTCATGCTAGATGACAGGTAGTTGGTCCCCTCACTGTGAATGGCTGACACTGGTGACATTCATGTTATGTGGGAAGAGAGGACTACATGGGGGTAGGAGGATCAGCAAGTGAGGTGGGAGAGAAAAAGGATGGATGCCCTACTGATTCTGCTCTTTGATTGGCTCTGGCTTAGATGGACACACTGGCCCTCCAATTGCTTTGCTTTCTCTTCTTCCTCTACCTACCCTGCAGGTCATCAGAACTAACTGTGCTCCCAGCTCTGAGGGGAAGAGTTTATCATCCTAAAACATCATCAGATAGTCCAGGGACTGCACAGCATCCCACAGACACCGGACAGGGGCGGGTCTGGTGCCTCAGGACACTGTAAGCTTCAGGGTCTGAATCTTAGCTATTTCCATGTGCTCTGGACACAGAACCTGGGCAATACATGCTTGCTTAGGTTGTGTGTCATCTCAGAGATGTCCCCATGGTCACTGTTGTTTCAGACCTCCATCCTGCCCGGCTGGGGAGGCCTGCTGTGCCCTCTCCCTAGCAGCTGATAGGACTTTCTCCTGTTCTAACTCATGTGTGCTTTGCTTCTCTCACTCAGAGGGGGGCAGCTATATGTCGACAGCCATGACTCAATAACCTAATAGGGCCAGCTGATGGTGGCTCACACCTGTAATCCTAGCTACTTAGGAGGCTGAGATGTGAGAATCACAGTTCAAAGCCAGCATGGGTAGGAACGTCCGTGAGACTCTTATCTCCAATAAACCACCAGAAAACTGGAAGTGGCGCTGTGGCTCAAGTGGTAGAGTGCTTGCCTTGAGCTGAAGAGCTGA